TGCACTGTGTGTGCATCCTGAGTGTGTGTGTCGATGGGTGTTGAGAGTGGGTGTGTTTTCAGACCTGCCCTCTTCCTGTAACTGGCTGTGTGAGATTGGACAAATGACATAACTTCTCTGAACCTCACTTTCCATATATTAGTTAAAAACCAAGGCTGATTTATCTGGCCCTTCTCCAGGTCTGAAGAACTCTAACTTGGTGGTATTCTCTTAGTTTACTGATATGAGAAGAAATTGGGGTGGGGGAAAGTGAGGCTACCCATGTTTATGTAGCATTGGACAATATGTAAGCATGCACATATCATATGAATTAGGATATATATTGACATACTCTACCATTAGATATTTTATATTATATTTATAATCTACATATGGTATATAATATTGAACAATATTTCCCAACATTAAATTAGCCAGCAGATGGTTAGGTTTGCCATTAGGGAGGTTTATTTCACCACTTGCAAGGGGTTTCAAGGAAGGGTGACATTCAGTACTGTCACTTTGAAATCCTAATGACCCTGCAAACTAAAAGTTAGACTGTGATACCAGAAAAAGTAAGCTCTTCTCTACATACATTGATTTATTTTCCATAAGTCATAAAACAGTAGCAAACCAAAGAAAGAAAACTATATTTTTATATTCAGATTCATGCAGTGAGTATCCAATTGACTGGCCAACATCTTCTGATATCCTTTTAAAATTGACCATATAAAAGTCTAATATTCTTTTAGAAGACCCACAATTATGTGTGTATACACACACACACACACACACACAGAGAGAGAGAGAGAGAGAGAGAGAGAGAGAGAGATCTTTTTGGTATTATGCTTTTGCATAGATTTTGCTCAGCTGTTCATTATGACAGTCTTCTGAGAGATACCTTCCTCATTTTTCTGCTGAGAATCTATCAAGAAAACTAGTAAACCCTTATGAGAAACGTAGACTAGCATGTTGTTGACTGTCAGAAAATTCTTTACTCTCTCTAACCAAAATTTTCCAAGAAATGGTGGCAATTTAACCTTTATGTGGTTTCTTTAATTGAAGATCATTTATTATCTTTCTGTTATTTACAGCCACAGATCACAATGGTGTCTTGAAGAAGGCAGTTCAGTTATCAATGAGATATACATACCTGCTTAATTTAGTTTGTACAGCAGAAAAGCAAAAGTTGGTTTCATTATCCATCACAAAATACCTAACATTTAAAGATGCCCTAGCAAGCAGCCAAGCCAGAAAACAACAGGAATGCCTTTGGAATAAAGTAAAATTTAGCAAAGGGAATTGACTTATTTTTATTATGTAAACTTTTCCCCCTTTTTTGGATTTTTATGGCTCTGCATACATAATAAAATTCTATACATGTACTTTTTTTTTTTTTTTTCAAAAATGACAAAATGGTAATAGAAGAATTTAGGATCCTTTTCAACTCTGCTTAAGATTAAGACGTCCCAGAGTGAAACCTTGATGTGCCCACTACTTTAAGCACCACCCTGTAAACATTCACAGTTGACTCCAAACATGTGGAAGAAGCCAAGCTGCCAGCATGCAGGTGTTCAGAGCTGCCTCCCGATTCTACCCGAGGGCTTCACCCAGGGCTGAATTCCCTGTTGCCCTCTAAAGCCCAGGACTCGGTGAGAAAAAAGAGAAGTGAATTAGATAGTAGACATTTACCATACTCCTCTATTTAAAATTCAGGGGGCAAATGGGCCTTTTAATTGAACACAGACACAGGAAACTGGAGACATAAAGTATTCATTTTCTCCAGCTTGAAAGTTTATATCGGAAGTTCCTATATTTCTTGCAAAATATCGCTATTTAGCACGTGAAGTCTGATGGTTTCAGAAAGTAGGAATTAGGTGTTCCTTTGATCTAGCTTGTAAGTACATCCGAACCACACCTTCAAGATGATAATGCTTCTCATTTCCCCTGCGCCTTGGTGTTACAATTCTCCAGCACCGTGGTGAGCCTGAGGGTCAAGACCCCTACCAAGGCGATAACGTTCCTACTTATTCCCAAGAACACACATGTGGGAAGGGTGGAATGGGCTCTTCCCCAATCCTCCAGCATTAAACTCAGCCCTGAGACTCCCAGGGCTTAGAAAATAGCTTAGCGTGAAGAATTGCTTTCTCTGAGAGTTATGCCTGAACACTTCTGCTAAAGCAGAGAGTCATCAGTTAATCTCTGTAAATGACTGCGATTTGGGCAGGTGTCAGCTGGTATAGAAATTGCTCACAAGTTAAAGCTCTTATTTCTAAGTATATGTTAATGGTGGGGGGGGGACTAATTAAAACAAAAAACAAACAAAATCACCTTGTGCCTGGTCACAGGACTTTTTACTTGAAATGATGATTCCTGCTGGGTGTCTTCATGGCACAGGTCCCCAAGCTTGGTGGCTAAGAGACACACAACTGGCAAGAGTCTTTCTTCCAAGGCTGGCTGTAGACTCTACCATGCCAAGTGCCATGTATTCAGAATGACCTCACTCACATCCCTTCCCTGGGTTACCCACTGTCCTTGACACAGTGTTCTTCAAAAATGCCACTAAGTGCCCAAGGAATGGGAAGTTCTGAAGTTAGTACACAACCTGCCGGCAGGCTTTGCCAAATGGCATTCTTTCCAAGGCAGGTAGAGCTCCACACAATAATTTTTCCTTCCTTCTTCTTTTCCCAACTCATAATGCCAGGCATTAGACTGTGGTAGGCAGTTAAAAGGCTGAAGTGTTTTTTCGTTTTTGGGTTTTTGTTTTTGTTTTTGTTTTTTTTGAGATGGAGTCTCGCTCTGTCGCCCAGGTTGGAGTGCAGTGGCATGATCTCAGCTCACTGCATGCTCCACCTCCTATGTTAAAGTGATTCTCCTGCCTCAGCCTCCTAGTAGCTGGAACTATAGGCACCTGCCACCACACTTGGCCAATCTTTTGTATTTTTAGTAGAGACGGGGTTTCACCATGTTAACCAAGATGGCCTCTATCCCCTGACCTTGTGATCCGCCCACCTCAGCCTCCCAAAGTGCTGGGATTACAGGGCGTGAGCCACCACAAAGGGCTGAGTTATTATGTTTTGAATGAGTGTTCCATTGGAATTGTTTGTTTTTCTGCAAGAAAACTGCAGATTTTTCAGTTTGATCATCAGGAAGTCAACTCTGTATGGCAGAGATAAGAGGAGGGAGGAGCTAGGAAGGCTTCATCCAGAAGCACTGAATCACACCATGACTGACCAACACAGAGTGTTGCAGAAAAAAAGATGTTTTCATACTTCTGAGGGAAAGAAAGGATGACGGTTGCTCCGGGACCTGGCCGCGTGGCCTTTCATCCACAAAGCTGGTGCTTAAAATACTCAGACCAGAAGAGGCCTCCCACATGTGTGCTGAGCCTGCATGACTCAGGCTGTTTGCATTCAAGTCCTGTGTTCTGGGCTGGAGCGCTGAATCAGAGTCCAGATTTGCCTTGGTGACACATGACAAGAGGGAGCATTGCATTTGAACTACACAAATATTATGCTTAAGTACTTTTCCTCATTTTGGAGCCAAACAGGTCTTGTTAATGATAAAATCACTGCATTATAGTGGGCCCTTTTTTCTGGTCTGGAATTTGAGACAGTGTCAACTGTGCCAAGGGGCCTGGCAGCAGGAAGAAATGGCCAGGCATGGAGATTTGCAGCCATAATGCAAGTTATACCATTTAATTTTGTAATCGTAGCCATCGGGAGCTGGACTACAGTGCACTTCTCGTGTCCCGTTCTTACTCAAGGCCACGGGAGTGGAATCAAGGGGGCCTTTTTCTGATCTAGGATTGGGTCAGGGCATGTGAAAGAGGACTTTATGGGGGCAGCGGTCAGGCTGCTTCTCAACCTGGCTTTGAGGCCTCTTGACAATAGGGAACGGGTTGTGCAATTGATCAAGGACTCTTTATTGGAACCACAAGGCTGAGGAAGCAGCAGGAGGCCATTCTCTTTAAAAGAGAAATGAATGGCTCAGGCCTCCTGCAGCTACCTCCCTACCTTGGAGCCTTAGCTCTGCTGGACAGGACTGGCCCTGGTTTAAGGACATCTTGAGAGAACTGTAGACCCCAATCCCCTGTAAGCGGCCTCTGCTTGCTGCTTCCTGGTGACAGTTGTTTTGGTGAAGAGCATGATGAGGACACTTGCTATCTGTATAGACACTGAGGGACCTACCATCCTACCCTGGAGTCCTGAGCCTCATGGGGAAGCTCTCCAGATGGGCTGTAGCTCCCTCTGGGCTCCTGTGGGCCTATTCTGCTGGGAATATTGGACAAGTCACAGGCGAGGCCTTCCTGTCAACTTTTTCTCAGGGATACAGAGGGGAGCCGGCTTCAGGGAAGAAGGAATGCTTGTGAAAAGCCTGTGAGGAGAAGGAGAGGGAGAAGGAGAGGGGCTGAGGATGCCCTGTGTGTACCTGGAAATCTGACCTCCCCAGGGGCTGTGGGTTTGCAGCCATGCCTCATTTCCTCTTGGAGGGGGCCCTGCCGCTAAGCTCCAGGGCCCACTTTGCTGCCTCCAAAACTTGCACGTGGTTGGGTTTGCAGTAAGGAACAGCCGTTCTGATGCCCCTGGGAGACCACCTTTCCTGGCTGCCACAGCGTAGCCCCTGGCATGTGGCCATGTGCCAACAATTAATGCACCTCTTTCCCTCTCGGCATCATCACCACCACCAAGCTCCGTATCCCCCTGAGTTCTGCCCAATGGAAGTTGGTGTAGAGGGTTGGGGAGGGTGCTGAGGCCCAGAGTGGGGGAGCACTCTGTGGCCAGGGTGGTGAAAGGGGGCCCATTCTGCTGAGAGGACAGTGGCCCCAAATTCCCACTGGCAGCTAGCCCAATGGGCAGATCTCTAGCAAGTCTATGCTGGGGTGAGGGAAGAGAGAGGGGAAAGACGAGAAAAGCCCCAATTTTAGGAAATCCACAATACATTTTCTGATCTCTTCCCTCCCTCCTTCCCTGCCTCCCTTCCCTCTTCCCATCCCCTCCCTTCCCTGCTCCCCGCAATAGGACATCGGCAGAAACTAGATGATCAGCCCAAGCCCGGGAGCTTGTCCTTTTCCGAGCGGCTCAGTGAACTGGAGCAGCTGCGGCGTACAGCCATGAGGGTCAGCCCACACCACCCAGCCCCCACGCCCAACCCTCGCGCCTCCCTGAACCACTCCACTGCCTTTAACCCTCAGCCTCAGAGTCAGATGCAGGGTAAGTACCAGATGGAGCCCACTGCCCGCCTTTCCTGCACCTGGGCCACCACCCACAGCCGAGTCTCGTGTGCAAAAACCCTCCCAGACCAACTGGGATTTCCCCTTGATGCTGAGCGAGAGGCCTCAAACCAACAGCACCACCTGGGAGCTGTTAGAAATGCAGGGTCTTGGGCCCCAGCCCAGGCCCACTGAGTCAGATCTGCACTGAAACCAGATCCCCGCAAGGAGAAGCACGGCTGCAGAGGATATGCGGGCGCTCTGGGTGTGGATATCCATATTGGCTAGATAGCTCTCTTGAATTTTTTAAGAGTTAGCCTTGGCTATGCTATCTTTTTTACCTACCCATTAGGCTTGAACACACACACACACACACACACACACACACACACACACACACACACGTCAAGCAAGGTAAAGATGGGGATGTTTTAGGTTCTTTTTATTACCAGATTATTTGTGGGATTTGTATCTAATTTTTTTTATTATGAAGAAATAGTAGAAATGTATGGATGCCATCACATCAAGAGTCTCATTTGCAAATCGATATAGAATGCAGGTCCCCCCATCCCATGGGGCGAGCTGGCAATTGCAAAAGCACTGTAAAATGCAGTAATTGCTTAGGGCCCACTGTGCCAAATTAGATAATACAAGAAGTTCATTTACACTGTAGAACCACTGACGTCAATGACTGTTTGCTCTGTGATATCGTTTCAAAAATCCAAAATGCAGACTTTTCTCTGTGCCATGCAGGATGCAGCTGTATGTGATATGGTTTACAGTAATATTTCTTTCTCAAAGTAGCAGACTTGTTAAGGAACAGATAAGCAACACATCTGGAGAAAAGGGCAGGTGGCCAGCAACAGATGTGGTGGCTCCTTGCCCCTCTCGGACAGCAGGAATTAGCTTCCCTGGGAATTTTCTGTATGTGAGTTGTACTGTGGGATGTACAAGTGTCATCTGTTCCTTTGGGTTTACAGGCAAGTAGCTCTCTTTTTGGGTTAAAACACGGGTTCTCAAAAGGCATCCCTACTGTCTCCCACAGAGCTTGACAGCCCATTCCATTAGCTCTCACAGGTTTCTGGGGGAGGTTCTTTTACTTGATTGGAAAATTTTCAAATAAATCTTCCCAGAAGATACTACGCACACAGCTAAGTGGCCTGTCTGTGGAGTAGCCCTTCTGTAAACAAACAGAAAGAAACCTAAAGCTTGATGTTTTGGGGGGCTGCCTCTCATCGATAGATTCATTTAGGTGTATTTAGGAAGAAGACCCATGAAACAATTGGTTTCCTATTACATAATAATTATTAATAATGATTTAAAATGTATACGTTGATTTTTTTAAATTTCGAAATACAAGCGTAGATGGTAAATTAGGTCAAATGGTATGTTAAGTAAGTGAGATGGGCTTGGAGTGAAACAATACCTTGTTTCCAAAGAGGGTACAACTATCAAGGAGATTCTTTCATCTTACCTTTAAGTCCATTTACACTAATTCACATCATCTTCAGTAAACTAATTCACATCAGCCACTCATGTGCAAAATCCAAAGGAAGGCTCTGTTTATTCTTAGTTTCTCATTGCTTAACTGGCCATTTATATTACTAGGTTGATGAAGGGATTGCCTTTTACTGCTGATATTGGAACAAAAAGTCTTAAGCTTTTTTAAAGGCAATGGAAAATTCAGCCACATGAGGGAAAATTGAAATTGTCACCATTGAGTTGCCTTGTCTTTTCATGACCAGGGAATCTAATCTGATTTCCTTCTTCATGAGATATGCCTCTTTACTAAAAAAAAAAAAATGGGGGCAGTTGCACATTGAATTCTCATCCTCTGAAGCTGCTGGGCGAAAGCATTATTATGGACTCTGCAGTGGGCACTCATCAGCTCTTTGGAGTCCTGTATGCTTAGCAGAGTATCAGGTTTAACACCAAGCATCACCCCTTTTTTGTTCCTTTTGAAAACGTTTTAGTTCTGTAACATTTAAGAAATCATGACTTGCTTTTAGGGTTCCCTAGGGGCCTGGTTGCTACTCTAAAGAATGTGTGAACTATATTGCTGGTGTTCTTTCTTTCCAAAATATGAATTTGATATTCAGTACTTCACTTGTAAAATTGTAGGAACAACTTTTAAAAAGTAAGCATCCAGAATATTTTCATGTGAAATGACTTTTTCTTTCGTTCTTTCTTTCCTATAAGAAAATGCTGTTTTATACTAATCATGTTTTGAGTAGACCCCTGGGCTTTTTCTCTTGAAATTGGAAAGTTAACTGGCATAATATGCAAGTCTTGTTCAGCCAAGACCTTCAGTTTGTTCTTGACATGGAGGAAAATGCTTATTTTCCAGGCTTAGCCCTGAAGTTTCTATATTTATGAAGATACTTTAAAAAATACAGCGTGTGTTTATGGCTCCCTTTGAAATGGCAGTGGTAGTTTTAAGAAAAATATCCAAGTTGTCAGAGCAGTTCTACAGCAGTGCTGTCCAGATGCGTCAATGTTTGCCAGTTTTACAGAAATGTCAGTAACTGGGGGCTTGGAGAGCTTGCTTTGCTAGAATCACATGTGCTGGAGGGTCACTCAAAATAGACATCTCAAATTATCTGAAGCACGGTACAGGTGGCCACGCCACTACACCACTGTTTATTTGTTGAGATCTTAACTATTAAAGGGCTGAGGTTTATTTCAACTTCCTATTTTACCCGCTCTTAAAATGGAATAGAAAGCCATTTTGTCATGAGTAGACCCTTGAGCTACGCATTTCCACCAGTTAAGATACCAGCGTTAACTTCTACCATCAAATCTTAGAATCTCTTTTTAATTTCTTTCAAGAGATGGAACAGGGAAGATTCTAGAGCTGGTAGTACCAATGCCTGTCCAGATACAACTCCCATCTAGAGAAGGCTTCGGGCAACCCAAGCAAGTGATTTTAAAATTTCACCCCGATTGACCAAATATGATGTATCACATTGAAGGTGTCGTAATTTCCTCCTTTCTGGGAATACGAGGATGGAGTAATAGATGCTGGTACAGAAAACTGAAACCTAGATAAATTAGGAAGTCCGTTCTGTTGTACTGCATGTTGGTTGCCATAAACATGTAGGCAGAAGGTTTAACTCTTTAGCTGGACCAGTTGTGAGCTAGTTTGACATGGGTCTGACATTTGTACACATTATTCCATTCCCTCAATAATCCTTTGGTATGGTTTATAAACAGAGAATTCGAACTTCTGAGGTTAAAAATTACCCAGTATCCCAAAGATTGTAAGTGATGAACTTGGACACAAACCCAGACCTTCTGGGTGCAAGGCCAATGCAGGTGGGGTAGCCGTTCCCTGGGCGTGCACTCTTGGGTCAAGGATCGATTTACTACAGGGCTGGCCAGTGTCGAGAAGAATCCCAGTCACCAAAGGAGAGATGGAAGAAGTGCTGGGTTATTCACTCACTTGGCAGTCCTGTATTGAACGTGTTCTATTATAAGTTGATAAGAAGAACTTTGGGGCCAGGCTCTGTGGTGGGCACCTTAGTAAACTGTCTCCTTTGGTCCATGTGCATTTGTTTATAAAGTTTGGGAGAAAGAAAACTCAGAGTAATGAATCTCTAAATAAGAGTGAAAGAGGGGTGAATAAGCAGGGAGAAGGCTTACCAGCCACTCTGTTGACTTTACTGGGGCCTTTACCTTCCTACTTTTGAAGTCCGTTGAGACCAAGTGCTTATCATCCAAACCCAGTCAATATCCATCCACTTTTATGAGTATGCGTGCCTCACTTTGAGAGTTCCATATGGCCAAGAGGGGCCCCTGACCTCTCAAATCATCTCCTGATTTTTTAGTATTCCAGGTAACTTTTGTCTTGCTAATTATTTTCTCCCCAAATTAAAGTTACTTAGGAAAGACTATATTCTGGTGTTGCTGTCTGCAAAACTCTGAGATATTGAATCGACTCTGTGTCTCAGTTGTATGGAGTTATTTAAATCAGTCTGATTCTCTCTTTATCATCTGGATAGAAAAAAGGAAGAAAACCTTTCCGCCTTCCTGTAGGAGGAGGAGATAAATGCTCTTTCCAGCCTTGGATATAAAATATCCAACTGCATTGCATTGCTTTCCTGTCCGTCTCTCTCTTTCTCGTGCTCTCTCTCTCTCTCTCTCTCTCTCTCTCTCTCTCTCTCTCTCTCGTCCTCCCACCCCACCTGACTTACTCTTCTAGCAATTTGAAGCATAAAATCAAAGCAGGTTGAGGCTATTTGATTACCTGGGAAGTGGAGGCTACAATCAAACATCAGAAATCCTGATATGTAAATCTATAAATGGTCATTCAATGGTTACACAAAGTAACATATTCTGAGTGTGAGAAATTAATAAACAAGAAAGATGAATTATTTTATTTAAAAATAACTGTTAACTTGATGTAGTAGGATATGAAAGCCTTTCTAGGTCTACAGCATTAGGATCTTACCCTGAAAACAAGCCTGCATCAGATGTTCACATGAATAAATAAAAATAATTAAAGGAAAAAAGGGAGAGAGAGAAGAAAAGGAAAACCAATGAGATGACTGCAGGGTGTAGAGCCCTCTGTTGGCTTGTGGAGTGTGAGCTGCCTCCTGCCCCCCTTCCCTAAGCAGACCGTGAAGTTATAAGTTAATAGAATGAGAGGCACTCTCAAAGCAGAACTGAGAACTCAGTTACCGATTTTTATGTTCTTAGCTGGTGCAACATAAAGTGTGAATTTAAGGAAAGTTTGGAAAATGCAAACTAAGGAATTGCCTTGTGGATATTCAGAAAAGGAGAAAGAAGAATAAAGGGAAAGCGAAGCTTGGTTTTCTTCTTTAAGAAAAAAGCCCGAAGGCCTTTGCGTCCTGGTTTACTTGTGCTCTTTGTTTCTTGAGTTTTGGGCTTAGTCTGTTATCCTTGCTTTCTAGTCACTCATTTAAGTTACTTGACCACGCTTAGAGTGGTAGCCCGACTCTGTATTTTTTTCTCTGTGCTCTATTTATGGATAGACATAGT